CTGGTGAGAGTTTTCTGAAACACCCTGTATATTCCAATAGGTTTTACTAGTGAGGATTATCTTTTTGCCGCAGAGTCTGGGCAAAGGGTGAAGAAATAGATTTAACAGAAAGGAGGTCAGAGACTCATCAATTTGGACTATAAATGTGAAAGTCAGTAGCAGCCTTGATGAATCAGTCTTTTCTGCCTGTCTCTTGTCAGATCAACTCTTCTGTTTTCCCTCTCTGACAATAAAAGCCTGGGCTAAACAGCCCCAAGGCAAGTTTATTCCATCCTGCTATCAACCCATGAGGGATACGTATGAATCTGCCACACCTGAGACATGAAATCAACCATTTTTACGGTATGATTATTGTAGGAAAATCAAACTTGGCCAGCCCCTGATAGACACCACTCATTAGATTAGACTCTGAATGTGACTGAGATCTTCTTCAGTCTTATTTCCAGGCAAAAAGTATTTGACCTTTTAGCTGTGAAACTTCTCTTTCAGATGAATCTGATTATAAAGAAACTGGTGAGACGCAGGTATTAAAAAATATTTGGAGTACCTACGTACACCGCAACATGACAAGTGGATGCCAGATGATGTATAAGCAGTGTATTGATAAAGGAGGTTTGAAGCTTCCGGAAATTGGATAGCCTCAATAATATCGAACAGTTCAGTGATAGAGAAACCAGTGAGAAGGAAAAAGTAAACTATTAGAGAGAACTTACAGATACTCTGGGAGCACACCTTGAGGCAGGGGAACACCGCATTGAATATTCCTTGAAGGGATGTGATTAAGATAGACAAATAAAAACTGCTTCGCACTTGCACAGAAAATCAAGAACCTCGAGCAACTGTAAGTAAATTAAATATTCAAATCCAAATGACTAATTTTTCACAACACTCGCGTGAAAATGCAGCACCACGTTTGTTTACACTTTCTTATCATAGGAAGTGATGTTGTTGTTGTAAAATAATGCAAATGTAAACAAGTTGAAACCTCCACTCCCATTGGTTCCCGCCAATTTCGCTCAGTTGACGCGCCAATATACAAATTGACGCGCCATTTTTCAAATAAGCGGGGAGTACTCGGGTTGCGCGCTTCTTAAAAATCAGAAGCGTACCACTTACCAGGTTTTTTTCTTCATTGTTTTGGATCGCACGAAGTCAAGGACGCGGCATTAAATGGGGAATTGACCCCAGGGAAGCCGAATTGAACGGTCCTGAAACCCCTCAACCCCCATTGGAGGTCGGGGGGGGGGAGGGGGGAGCGTCATGGTCCTGAAGGTCGCGTTCCCCGACTTGTGATTCAACTGCATTAAAGGAGGAGTATCGTTTTGGGCCTTCTCCGGCCCCACCTGGATTTTGCTGAATGTTTCATTTTTTCAAAGTATTAGTCCTAGGTAGACTTCATGCCAAATATTTTACCGAACGGAGCCCATGCAAAGGTGCAACAACGCCTCAAACCCAGAATCTTGGCATCGAAAAATAGTTATTTTCATCGACTTTTTCGACTGTTATCACTCTTTCAGCAGATGATTTCTGTGTATTTTTTTGCGTACTTTCCGTTTCTGGCCTTTTTTAAAGGCTTCCAATAATTTTAAGGGGCCTTATGGCAGACTGTTGCCATTTTTGGCCCATTTTTAGGAGTTTTTTCAATTTTACACACGCAGAAATCCATTCAAACTAAAAACCGTGTACGTTTTTGAAAAGAACGCAAAAAATGAATAAGCAATGTTCAATAAAATTCTTTTCTACGTTGCCATATTTTCGATAAAAATCGTCCCAAAGAGCCGAAAATGGCAAAAATTCGATAAATTGCCACGCTCAAGGTTCAAGAAAGTGGGGTACAACTTTTATATTGACGTACGTAACAGCTCTTACCTATATATACAACATATCAAAAAATTATAGTTGTACCTGGATTCCCACGATGTGAAAATTGACCGAGTTGTAGATTTTAGCGCTCTTTTTAGCGGCTCTGGTGCTTGCACTAGAGCTGCTATTCCGGACGGTCCCAGCTGGGGAGTATCATTGGACCATGTTACATTGGAGAGACCGCGCGTTGGTTAATGGGAATCGGCGCCATTTTCGGCTATGTTCCTTGTCATGACTTTATTTTATTGCATATTGTTTTATTGTTAGCCAATGCTATGTTGTGTAGTGTATTTTTGGAATCATGGTGATACAGTCAATAATTCAAAACTTGTCTGTGCTTTAATCTCGTGATGGAAAAAATGTACTTTACGTTCAAAATTTGAAAATTTGAATTTTAAAGTTTTCGCGGTTAAGGAAGCTCCAACCACTGGGTTGGAGCTTCCTAGTCATATTACTCGATATCAGCTGATAGCAAACAAAGGTTACCAAGGAAACCGTAAACGTCTAACGCCGTCTGCCCACGTAGCAAATGGGAGGCGAAAATGGAAGTCATCAGTGCATCGTTGAGTGTTGACGCCCGATCCCATTTTCAGACATGTTCACACGTTTTGCTTGCAAAGAAAAAAGGCGGCAAATCAATTTTTATTATTGGACCAATGAGTGTTCTCCAATTTCAGTTTGTAAAATTCGTGGTTTCTAGGTTAGGTTTTTGGCTGTGTGATAAATGATATTATGCCGTCTTTGATTTTGTTAAAATGACTCGATATATGTTATTTGATAAACGATTGGAGTATTAAAAATTGTGTCCTTAAAAAATGGATGATGAGGTGATTTGGTTAACATGGGCATTTGTGGTACTTGCGGCGTATTGCCCGCCCAACACGAAATATTGCAGCAATATTGCAGCAATATTGTCAATATTGAAACAATATTGTCATGTAAATATTTCCTTAAATACACTGCAGAAATATGTTGACAATATTGCTAAAATATTTCATGACAATATTGTAACAATATATTTATAAAAATGTTTTAAATATATTTACAAAATATATTTATGTAATTACTTTTAAAACAGTTTGTAAAAT